ATATATATATATATATATATAAACATAAACAGAGAGTCCAAAAACAACAACACAAATCATGCACACAAAGAGGTCTATACCCCAGCCCTTCAAAAAAAAAAAAAGGACTTCCATCACAGCGGCCTTCCGCCAGCAGGAGACGTGCTTGACGATACTTCTGGGGATTCCCACCCACAGGCGGCAGACACTACCCTGCCATTTTGTTTTTCTGATCAGCAGAAATCGTTTCATGTAGGAGAACAAAAAGACAGACTCTACAAAATATTTGTTTGAAGCTTTTTCTTAGTGTGCCTCTCTCGAAGACGCTTCTTGAGTTGCGCATTTTCCGCCACCAGCTGCTCCAGCTCCATTGTCACGCGCCCCAGAACGGCATCACACTCCTCCTTCTCCTCCCGGTACTTGCCCCGCGCATTCGCCAGCTCTGTCAAAAGCTCTTCGCGCTCCTTTGCGCTGCGTTTTTCCAGAACCCTGTAATTTTCTTCCCAAATCGATAATTCTTTGTTGAGAGCCCCTATTGTCAATTCATTCGCCTTGAGCTGTGGAATCAACTCGTCAAAATCCTCTTCATTGTTGTTGTTGCTGTTCTTGACAACAACACCATTACCACCAAGGGGTCTGAGGCTTTCCAACTTGGCTGTATCGGAGGAGCCGTTGTACTGACTCAACTGCTCAATGGTTCGCTTCTGGCGCTCTACGGTGTCACGCAGTCGGTGGAGCTCCTCCATGTTCTCTCCATCCCTTTCAAGAGCCTTCTGAATAACGGCAAATCGTTGCGCCACATCCAGTTTCTCCTCGTCGCGTAACTGCAGTTCCTGTGTGAGGGCGCTCACTTTATGGCGAAGCTGTCGCACCTCATCTGACTGCGTCAGCGACATGGACCGCGTGGGGCGCGTCTTGGAAACGCTATTATTCAGGTGAAACACAGTCTCGTCTATCCTCTGTACCAGGTTATCCTTCTCGTTTAGGAGCGCGCGCAGCAACACGTAGGCCTCCTCCATTGAAAAAGGAGCTGGCCTCTCCAACAGTGATTCTCGAAGATCACTCTCAAGCTCCCCAACGAGGGGCTGCATCTTTGCCAAGATGCCACGGAGCTGCGAGGAGTTGTGCGCACCAAGAGTCACCTCAACTTGCTCAAGAGCTGAGCTGCGAGTCGTAGCAGCGTCTTGCACCTTGCTCACTACAGCACTGAAAGATCCCAAAGCGGGCAGAATGACCCGCCGTTCCAAAAGCGAAAGATATTCAATCAAGGACGTCATTGAGGAAAAAGAATCAGTGATCATCCGGTCACGTTCCTTTAGCTCCGCCGTCAGCTGCTGCTCCATGTGGTCGCGTTGACGCTCCACGAATACACACTCATCAATAACTTCGGAGAGGTTTTGCTTGGCCTTGCGTAGCTCCTCCCTAAGCTCGACGGTAGTGTCGGCCTCCATCTATGACTGCTTGCTCCCCCCTTCCCTCACCACCGTCCCTTTCCTTTTGTTGTTGTTTATCCAATTTTGCAAAACAAAAACAACAACAACCGAGAAACAAAACAACAACAAAGTAATGGAAAAAAAAATGCCATGGCGCACAGGAGAATGGCACCACAACACAAACAGGGACGGCGCAAGAACCCAGCATGGTCTAACAGTTCCTTCGTTTGCTTCCCGTTTTTCAACGGCCTGGAGCAACACGAGTGTTTTTTCGAAAATTTCCATCAAGAATACTCACTCGGCTAATGGGCCCTTTCTTGCGGCTAATGACAGTGCCGTCCTTCTGTGAGCGAGAGTGGGAAGCCGCATCTTTCACGGATGCCCCCTGAAGTTCCTCCATAACATCTCGCATGTCTTCAGAATATCGGGACACTACATCCGAAGTCTTCACATCGTGCGTAAAGACAAACTCACTGCTCTCAGCAGCACCTTCTGAGCCATTAGCTTGGCCATCGCCGAGTTGGCGATACTCGTTGTGTGTCATCTGTCGGCGCATCTTGTTGGGCAGTCGATCAAGCGTGACGCGTCCCATCTTCCCCATCTGGAAATCGTGGATGAGAAACCTCTGTGCCCGTGCAGGGTCCAAGTTGCCTAAATCCGTTTGTCCACTGGAACCACTTCTTTCACAGATCATTGCGATGCAGTCGTCGAAGCTGATCGGAGCCCTTGGCAGGTGTAAACACTCCGCCATGTGCTCACCGATCCCTGCAGCAGTGAGCACATCGTAAATGTACCGTGCCACAAGGGCGCGAGAGAGCGTGATGTCGTTGGTAGGTATTATCCCACATGCTGCCAACTTCAAACCCGCCTCTTTTGAAAAACATCCAGGGAGTGTAAGCCCAGGTGAGTCGTACAGGACGACATTTGGATCACGACAAACAGGAACGAGTTTCACGCCCCGAGTTGTGCCAGGAAAAATGCTCACCGCCTCCGGCGTACGCGGGCGCCGAAAGTCATCACGATGAAACTGATACTCGTGTGCCATTCGCAGGGAGTTTATGAGGGTAGACTTGCCAACATTGGGCATCCCAACCACAAGCCCAACATGGGCCGTTGTCCTAAAGGGCTGAGCGGGGAGGATGTGCGTCACAAACCGCTGTACGGCCTCCACCGTGTCTCTCCAACTCCGCTTGGCGCTGGTGAAGAGGGCGAAACTACCAGTTGCCTCATAGTACTGCTGTATGGTGCGGTTGCAGTCCTCGTTTGACATCTCCGCCTTGTTAAAAATAATGAGTCTCGGCCTTCCCGTTACAACTTTTCGCAGATTGGGATTCTCTGTGGAAAACGGCAGACGTGCATCGCGTATCTCCAACACGAAATCTGCATCCTTTACTTTTTCGGCGAGGGACTGCGAGGCAAGCTGCATGTGCCCCAGATACCACGCAGCCCCCTTCTCGTTGATGTCGACAAAGGCCTCCCGTGACATCCCCTTCCTACTGGAGTGGTCCATCGCCTCTTTGTACGACGCCAGCGTCCGCTTCACACGCCGCATAAACACGGGGTCGAACACATTGCGGTGCCACGTGCCGCATCGCATTTCTCCGCCCCCCCCTTTTTTTCACAGCCCCTAAGAGAGAGAAAAATGCCAGTGCGTGTGTGTGGAGGCATTGTATGGTGGCAACAAGCCAACAAAGAAAGACCACAAAAAAAAACAACAACAAAAAGAAACAAGAGGCATTCGTGTTGTGTTGCGTGTGTGTCCGTGACGGAGGAGCTGGAACCCAATACAAAATAAAGCCAGACAAACCACACACACTCAAATCCATCGAAAAACACGACTTTGTTTTCCGTGGAACCGCAAAAAAAAAAAAGAAATAATGAACGCATATTCTCCCATTTGGAGGAAAGAAAAAAAAAAGTAATTTCGACGCATCTTTTAAAGAGGAATGTATGAGACTTAGGGGAATAAGGGCTTTAAGGTGTAGTGCCTCACAGAATCCACTTCTCCTTCCACTTCCATTTTGTTGTGGTCTACGACTTTTTTTTTCTTTCTTTGCGCCTCGTTCTCTGGAATACAATTCCCTGTTTGGCTTGGAACCATTTGGTAAGAGATGCTTCATGCCACTGATGAGTCAAAAGGCATTTTACCCGAACTTTCCTGACTGCTGCAGGGAGCCTTAATTAATTAAGATGTGGCTGCCTACTTTAACATAGGTTGGTGGAGGCGGTGCTTTACACACTTGAGTGCACCGATCCCCCATGTTGTTGTTTGCTCTCTTTTATATATTTTCGTCCTTGGTGTTTGTTTTCATTTTATTTCTCGTCTCAACACATAGCTCCGCTTGCAAACAAAAGAAAGACAAACTCCGCACGACTGATGCACCAGTTGCCTGAACAGGAGAGAGAGAGAGAGCAATATAATAACAAAGCACCTTTCACGTGTACTAAAATATACTTATTTGCCTTTTCTTCTTCCTTCGCAGCTACTGGTCCCACTTTACACAGCTGTAAGATCGAAAGAGTGAGGGAATGCCTTGATTTTTTTTTTTTCAGAGTATGCGAAGCCTGTACTACCATTTCTCCTAAGATATTTTTTTCCTGCTTTCCTTTTTTTCTTTCTTCTTGTTCTCACGCCTTTTGTTTCGTCGTTCTCTCGTCCTCGTTTATGTTTCTCCCGCCCATTTATACACACCCTCCATGCAGGAAGAGATTGCTTCCCGCCTCGCCGAAAGGTCATGCGTAAGTTGAGTAAAAAAGAGGGAGGAGGAACACCAGTTTTCTCCCACTGTGTTGTTCCCATCCACCTGTAAGGCAGTGCACAAAATGCCTGGAGGATTTCCGTCGTCCGGGTCGGCACAAACAAGAAAAAAAAATGGGAGGGAAGGGAGACACTTAGTGGAAGCCGGGTACGGCGCCTGGGGCATACGCCGGCAGTTCCGGAACTCTTTGCACCCCGAACGTCAGTGGCCCCACTGGCGTTCCGTAGCCATATGAAAGCGGCAGCACAAAGGCTCCATATTGCGTGAGTGCTGCTGTAGGTGTTGGCAGTAGTAAAACAGGTGCGTAAGTTTGGTACTTCTTCCCCAGTTTGTTGCCATCTACTGACGCATCGACATGTGAGGCCACCGGCGGCATATGCAAGATCTGCGGCGGCATATTCCCTTCCGGATGAAGGCACGCCGGTGGAGGTGCCGCAAGCGCCATGTAGTCCTGGGGTCTGTACGTGGTCGCACCGCTTGCCCTAAGTTGATCGAGTTCTTCTTGCGTTCCATGGAAAAACATACATCCATCACGCAGACAGGCACGCTTTGTGTAAAAGTGACACACAGTGAGTGGCACCCGCCTTGTTTCGCCCTTTCTGATGTGCATGTAAGAACAGCTCGATGCCAATGGACAACTACCGTTCAAGAAATGGTCGCGACAGATAAGACCCTTATTTCGGAGCATCTCAACACCCGTCTGTCGCTGTTGATCAGCAGCCCACAGCCTCGTAACGTCAGCCATTCTGCCGAGTTATCTGGCCCACGCAGAAGAATAGAACGAAACACGGAGTATGGCCTTGTAATCCTTCTCTTATTGAACCAAACCGAACTTCCACAACAAATAACAAATGAAACACACAACAACAGAAAAAAATGAGTAAGAACATAATAGAAGTGAATCCTATTACAATAGCAAAAAGGGAGCACAAAGAACAAATGATAAAACGTTCTGCTGTATTTAGACCCTACCAACGCTATGTTTTAACCAAGCCATACCCAACCTGCCTGTGCCACGACGGGGCAATACACCACCGTTGCATCAAAGAACCCCCAAGAAAGACAAACAGGCCGCCGTCGTGAACATTGTTACCATGTTTCCCGCAAACCGATAACTGTACCCGGCGTAGAGTCTTCTGCCGTAGCTGGGCGAAGATGCGGGTTTGTACAACTGAGCGAGGAACGAACGTAGACTTCGTCGCTGTAGGGGGTAGGCGACCAAGTCGACAACCGCTGTGGCAGCGAAGGCCCCTCCCAGCGCCTTACACTTGAAGCGCCGCCACTCGTCGGTGTCAATCAGCTCCGTGCGCCGGCGCAGCAAGGAGGAGGGTGTCGGGATAATTGCCGAGCCCGCTGTTTCATACCACGTCACCCAGGCGGCCTGATATGGCAGAATAATACCCAGCGGCAAAAGAGACACAGCGCCCCGCAGGAGTGTGCGCAGTGAACGCGGGCCCGGCACTGCTGGGCCAAAGTGTTGTGCAACCACCGCATTTGCGAGAGGCGTCGTTACCATGTGGGCCACCGCGTTTGCCATGAACCACACAGCGCACACATAGTAATACGGATGACGGGCATCAAACCACGTAGTGTTAAACAGCGGCGACCCCAGTAGAAAGCCTGACTGCTGTTGAGAGAGGAAACGAAGAGCCACACACGCGGTAAGGCCCTGTGTTGCGGCACAGAGTAAGTCTCGCGCAAACATACCAGCAGACAATGACCACAGGCTACCACGAAGCAACATAACCCCTAACTGGCACTCCATCCAGCGTAGTTGGAGAGGAGCGGAAATCAAACCACACAGTGCAAACAACACTCCCGTGGAAACGATATTGAGTGCAAGGTCGCGGTTGACATCTCGACTTGTGTTTGATTGAACTAGCCACTTGTATAGAGAGTCCACACCCTCGTCGATCATCGCACCACCGGCAATCGAGTGGTAAAAGTTTAAACATTCCACGACTGAATGTGGTGCAGTATTCTCTACAGGCCGCCGCATCGGCTCCAGAGAGCTATCCTTCGCTTTTAAATGGACCATGCCAGGTAAGAACACCGCAGGGACTATGAAATTGAACCGCAAGTCGTCTAAAAAGTCAAAGGGGCGAAACGATGACGCTGGGGGGAACCCAGACAATAGCCCACTGTCTTGCCATAGACGAATAATCAGCTCAGAACAGAACTGGTCCATTTCCGTGTTGCTACCGTCAACTGCAAAGTGTCCACTCTTCCAGTTCAGGGAAGGGAATTCACCACGATCAAGACGCTCCAAATGGGGAAAGTATGTATCACTGAGGAACACAGCGGCATTAAGGTAGATCTCCCGTAGGCGGTTTAAAAGGTCAACATCTTCATTTCGACGTTCCACAGGCAAGAGTTGGTCAATTTTTGACACTTCCCTTGCAATTAAATTCATCTTGTGCGCCGCATTTATGCGATCCATCTTGTCCGGTGTGCTCAACAACGAAGGGACAAAATCGACGACGCTGTTCTTATAGAGGTACTCCTGTACCTTCTCCAGGTGCTCCAGCAGCACCTTTTCATGCTCCGCGCGAGTGGACTCCATGCAGAGCAAGCGAGCTGATATTCGGTTGGCCGACGACCGCGCTAGGCGATTTTCCAACGCACGCAGCGTAACACCATTGAGGTTTGTTTCCAGGACGTACGTGCCAGAAGGTGACACCGGATCCTTGTGACTCATGACTCCTGTTAGTTGGTGCTTCCGCACCTGCTCCTCGTTGAGTTTCATGACCATCGCAACATGGTCGTATCGGCACTCCGTCTTGTTGAGGAGGCAGATGGCAATACCGATAGGGTCCCGCATGGCCATGCACTTGCGGTCCATCAGCAAGACGTCGCCACTCCGTAGATTCGACCAAGAGGTTTCCATCGTTGCTGATGACGATAATGATGGTGATGACATGGAAACCATGTGATACTCGTCACCAAGCCACCCTTTTGCAGAAGGCAGACAAAGCCAACACTATAAACATGAGGAGGAAACACCAAATGAACAACATCAATAACTCCAACAGGCCAACAGAACCCAAATGAGAAGTTTCCTAAAAACCTCACCTCAGCATAATATCACCGGAATAAATAGACAACTCAGTTTCTTTTGTTTTTCTTCCGTTTTCTTTCCATGGGCTTGTGCACATGGGAGACAAGCCTTTAAGCGCATCCTTCAATACACTTTCGCCAGCGGAAAGTCAACGACAAGTCCTCGTGCAGCCGAAGGAAGCTCTCACGGGTATCACGATCCAGTCTCAAAAGACTTTTGGTTTCGTAAGAGGATTGGTCGTCTGGACATGCACAAAAGTATAAGCGATTCATGGGAACACAGTGGTTCAGCAGTGATGAGATGACGCGCCGAGTCGAAGTGTTACCAGCACCTCCAACGAGATCCATTTTTGAAATCACAACAAACGGGGATGCATCATACATCAAGGAGCGAACCAAGAAAACAAGGTTCCTTAAGCACATCACTACGCCTTCGGCATCTGGCGCAGGGGCATAGCGAGATTTAAACTGAAATACACTCGACCAGCCGTTGTCTTCCACAAGATCTGTAGCAGGCACAACTAGGATACACTGGTGAGCTCCATTTTCAGGGACAATGGCTAACTGCTCAACCTCCTCGGGCTGCAGTGCACCTTTTCCCGCAAGCCGTGTTTTCCACGGCACTCCACTGAACAACCTCTCCAGAAGTGGCTGCTCCTCGGCGTCATAGTACTTTCCAGGCGTGTCTATGCACAACCATGTCGGCTCTGTGGGGTGATTGGGGAAAGGGTCTACAGTGGTGGTTCCACAGAATCCACAAATACCAACCGGCGCGGCGGGCCATTTCATATTGTTGGTCACAGCTGCTCGATAGCTGTTAACTAACGAGGACTTCCCAACTTGTGGGGCCCCAAGAACCAGCACACGCATCGTCTCTCTATTGTACCGCTCAGGCAGTGTCATCGCAAAAGAATTACCCCCTTTGGGAGGGGCAATACGGGCAGGAGAATTTCTTCGTGATTTTGACACAATCTCCGGATTGGACTGTGTGCGCGCAAATTGGCGACCTGAAGCCATGCCACGAGTGAGAATTTTACCAAGGGACAATGCAACAAGGGAGTTGGAGTCCGAACCGGCCCCGATACCGAACGCTGGGACTGACTTGATGCTGGCTCGTCTGGAAGGCTTTGGTGGAAGCTCACATTGGTAAGAACTCCCCGAGTGAGACGGTACTGTAACAGAACCTGACTGCGGTTGTAGGAACTCACTCGACGATACAGACTCTGACGAGGACTCGGTTTCGCTCCCCGACCCGAGGGCAACTGCAGCACCCGTCCGTCTCGACTTTTGCCATACAGGCATGAGGTTAAGGCTCTCGCCGCAGAGAAGCAACAGCGAATAAAAAAAAAAAACCTACAAAAAATACAAGAACAGGAAATAAAGGTAGTTGTGCAACAGCCAAATCTAAAAAAAAAATTGGCGATCTGTTTGGGGACATGGGCTTGCGCAGGACCTCTAGGGCAAAAAAGTGAGCAGAAAACACCTCATCTATTCCTTGTCCTTCCAAGCACCCAACACTGCATGGATCATTTAACAACCGAATTAAAGGCACCGTCTGAAAACCTATCCTCTGCATCCTCATCCGCATCATCTAAACTCGTTGCTGTGAACATCGATGAAAACGATTTTTGAACGTCATCGAAAACCTGATGGTTAGGACGCAACGCACGATCTGACCAAATGGAGGGACCAGGCCACACAAACTCATCCTTGACACTGCATTCGCACGCAGCAGCAGCATCCTTGATAAAAGGGTGCTGGAGAAGATCATAGGCTCTCGGTCGTCTGTGTTGCTGCAGTCTGAGCATGCTACTCACAAAACTGCGGAACGATTCCCATTTTTCAGGCGATTCGGTTGATGCGCTTAAAGGTAACTCTAACGATAACTCTTTACCACTGTCACGAAGATGCATGTAAAAATTCACGAAGTCCTTCATATCACTTAGATTCTTCAACACCGGCGGATATACACCAGCGACATCTAGCAGAGTCAAGCCGATCGACCAAATATCCTCCTTAAATAATCCATCCATTGGTGTTGTTCGCCATGAAGTGTCCTCCGTGGGGATCAAGAGTCGCTCGGGTGCCATAAACTGCAGTGTGACGCCATGCACGTTGCCTTCGTCAAACGGTTTCTGTGTAGCTGAACCAAAATCCGCCAGTTTAAGGTGCCGCTCATTCATCATCAATATGTTTGCAGGTTTAATGTCACGATGCGCAATACCCTTTTCATACAGATGTTGAACTGCACTAACTATTTGAAAGGCATATAATGCCAGCTCCGTTGTTGTTACTCTCTTATTCCGAGCGTATCGCTCAAGAGAAGTTGGACAATACTGCAGAAACATTCGAAAATCCGCAGTCGATGGCGAGTAAGAAGTGGAAATGCATTGTATTATGTAAAGACTAGAGCACTGACGCATGATATTCACCTCGTCTCTCAAAGCATTGAGGGAGCGTTTATGGGCGATGTTAACTGTCTTACACGCCATGTAACCCCCTGTCAGCTTATCCTGCACGAGGTCTACAATGCTGCAGGAGCCTTCACCTATCCGTTGCATTACATTCCACGCCATTGGAGCAGGCGAAAGCACTGTCCGCTCTTGCTCCTTCAACTCACTCAGGTACTTCAAAAAACGCAACCACCGGTCTTCACTCACCGGCTTCTGCAGAACATAGTCGCCATCATCCGCGTAACGGGGTGGGCCATCAGTGCTCAGACCGAGACACCCGCTGCTATTTTCCGAGCGTTCTCGTGTAATTGTCAGAAATATGCTCTTCTCGCGACAAAAACTCAACCACGCGTCGAATTCAGGTGAAGTATCACTCAATATTACTACATCCACATCATGGGAATAATTTCCAAGTGTTGCCTCAAGCCTGTCAAGAGATTCAACAGCAAAGGTGTGGTGCTGCGATTGATTGCAGAATCCGATTAAATGATTTTTGTAGACAACATCTGGCTCGTGTAAAACAACAGTGTACGTGAGAAGACGTTTTCCACTGTGCTCGAGAATACTGTCATTCTCCACCTCCATACCAAAAGGTTTGAGTACGATGGGTACAATAAGTTGCAGATGCCTGCGGGAATTCCGGGTAAGATAAGCCATGAGACTAAGGAGTTCAACGACATCCTGATGCGTCTCAAGATCGATGCGCGACGTGTCGGGCACGCTGGCATCAAATTGAAGAGCCAGACACGTTCCTGCGCCGCAGTTTACACATGTCACCTCAAGTAGCATCCGATCTTCTCCATTAAGAACTACGTCTTTCATAAGTTTTGCCAGCAATTGCTGGATACCAACAGCGTCGCATTGAAATTGCATTGGTATACCACTTCCAGGCTGAATATCAACTTGCGAACTTGAAGCATCCCTCAGTGATTTTAATAAATCTTCGAGTGTACTTGAACACCAGCTTCGCGTTGCTTGCGTCGTGCGCTGCATGAGGGAGACCCATCCGTTATTTACTACTAAATTGCGTACAACTTGGCAGGTGCAGCCGTCAAAGCTTAAAGCACGAAGCGTGGAGAATGTACTCACACGTGAAAAGTACGACATTCCTACTTCTTCTTCCTTAACAATAGTTCCGACAATCATACCTATTGGAATTTCATCCACGTGTGCAATGGTAACTGATGCCTCAATAGCGACAGGGGTTTCCCTCCTTACATTGTTCAAGAGCAGCCGCTGCTTCTGCCGTGGGTTGAATTTTAACTCTCTGAATAAGCGACGGACGGTTGCAATGCTCCTTGTATCCATCACTGCCTCGAGGGACTTCTCCACCGCCTGCCCCGGCAGGATGTCCGTTGCCACCCGAGCGGCTTCATTCCAACTACAAATAGCAAGCGATTCGGTATTGACAATGCCAATCATGACAACGTGACGGTTCAATACACTGCTCTTGATTGCCAGCGTAACCAAGGCATTATCCTTGCATCGAATAGCGAACTCAGCGACTTTCCCCATCTGAAGATGCTCATGCACTGTTTGACGCTCAATAGCATCCGCCAGGTGATTCTCAGAAAGGAGTTTTGCAAGCCACAGGCAACGTGACTGCCGCATCGTGAGCATGTTGAATAAGCCCAAAAAACTACCGAAACCCAGCGCGGTCGCCACCGTCGTGAATACAGGACCCCACAGCGTCGGCTTGCTCCACGACACCCACGCTGCTATGACCACCATACAAGCCGTCATAAAACCATACGTAATCCAGAGAAGGCGAAACCAAAGTGAAACTTCGCCGTCCACAGTAAAAGCACCACTCTTCCACCGCTTTGAAATGTGGATACAAACCCGTTGTGTGAGATCCTTTTGCAGCATTGTGTGGAAGCTGATGGCGTCTGCCGTATTCTTCACCGCAATCCAAGACTCATGCAGTGATTGGGATGAACTGTTGAAGGAAAAAGATGAAACGACCTGTAGTGCTTCTCGCCACCGCACCACAAGCTGATCTCCAAACCAGCGAATAAGGCTAAGATACTCTACGATTGTTTCGTCATTGCCACTCACTGGTGTGAGCGAGCGCATGAAATTCGCGTCAGCGAAAGTGATCTGAACAAAATGGTCGATATGAAAGATGAGCAAGGACCTTTTGACATGACAAATATTATCCTTACCGGGTATGCAGTTTGCTGCAACGTCATGCACCAACTGTGAGAGCTGTTGTAATGCCGTAAAAAAATACTCCACGTGTGAAGCGTTGAGTGTAACAGGGAAAGGGACGGTTGCAAAGAAAGGTGTGTAGGCTCCCAAAGTCACTTTGGCGTCGGGAAGGGCAAAACCGCCCGTGTAAAAATTACCCATCTTTCCGAGGTCATCCCCATCGAGAAAGTGGGGAAGCATCACCTCCTCCTTACAGTGTAGCTGCATCTCCCAAGGCTCTTGTTCTTATCGTCGTTTTCTTTTTTCCTTTGCCTTTTCGCTGTCTTGGTCGCGTTTTTCGTTTTTGTTTCTTGTCGTCGTTGTCGTTGTCGTCGCCGTCGTTGCTTGTTGTTGTTGAGGGCCGTGGCGGCAAGTACAAGATGCGGTGGGTGGGGGGAACCGCCACCCGCCAGGAACCTGAAAAGAAGAATTGCTCCACTCCAAACTTAACTGCAGAAAAAAAAAAATAACTTTCACACGCACCACAAGAACTGAAACAAAAAACAAAAAGAAACACAAAAAGACAGCATAAAAAGAAGACATGTCTTGCACAGGGAGGCTCTGGTGAGATAACCTCACTCCTACCAGTCACGCAAAAGGGTCGTGTACCCAATCTACCCGTTGCTTTTATATGAGGGAAAGAAGGCTCACTCAATGATGGACGTGGAGGAGGTCGACAGAGACGTATAGCCAATCACGCCGTCCTCTTCTGGCAAGAAGGGATCATGGGCACTGAGAGAATTCAACAGCAAAGCATTGGGTGGGATGCCACTTTCAGGGCGTGTGCCTGGAATAACATATACATCACAATCATAATAATCAAAGTAGAGTTGTTTGAGTCGGCTGATCTCTTCCTCATCAAGGAGTTCCTGCAGCGAACTTGTCGTCTCAGAAAGAGTGCTTCCTTCACTGTTAGAAACTTCAGTAAAGTGCGGCATACGCACCGACGGGGCACTCCAGGCATCCGGATCTAATCCACTTCGTCGGATGCCGCGGCGAATCGCCGTGATCTTGCGCGACTGGAAGCTACGAAGATAGCTCTGTATCGTCAAGACGAGGGTCTGTGTGACCACCGCACACTGAGCCAAAGCAACCTCCACTGCGGCTTTCCGGCGCCCGAGCTTTGGCTTCCCAGACTCCTTCACCGAGGACAAATAAACATTGATGACACTACGAAATGCTAACATCTTTGTTGCATGTGTTCGAGCAAGCTCCTCCTTCAGCCGACGCTCACGCGTGACAGAGTTGCCCAACACGGCGAGTGCATTAACAGCAGCAACACTGTAGTCCTCTGCCCAAACGGCATTACCAGATATTTCCATCCGACCCGTTATATTCTCCGTTTGCAGGCTCATCTTTGACGCCCTCGGCACTTTGATTTTGTACGGCTTCGCGACATGTCCCCCTCCCACGTCTGGGAGTCTTTGTCTGCCGCGTCGCCTATCTTCCTCGTCACCACTCTCGGCTTCAGGGCCATCCACAGCAGAATTTTTAGTTCCCTTGGCTGCATGCGGATGCGACTTCTGCGGCGTTGGGCGGAAGCCGCGCCTCTCGCTCTTCGAGGGGGAATCCACCACTCGCTTGCCGAGCGCAGGGACGAGGTCAGTGAACTTCACTTCACGCGGCTGCAGCACCAAACGTGCATGATCAGATGCGTTCTCCACAGAAGGCACAGGTCGATGATCCATGCATACCTTCCCCCCCCAGCAATCCCAGAAAAACAAAACAAAAGAATACACATCAGAAACAACAAGAATGACAACAGGTGAAGCCAAGTGGACACGAGAATACAAAAAAAAAATATCCAAGACAACGTGACAAATGCATTTTTTCCTCTTTTTCTGCAGAACGGAAATCAACAACCATTGACACATGCGCAGCAACATCGACAGAAATAAGATGCTTGAGTTAAAGGACTTTACACAGTAGATCCGTCCACTCATCTACCCCACGCACCATCCACTTCATCGGGCGACTGGACCACGTCCGTTCTCGAAGCTTCACCTCCATTGTATTAAATCCGTCCCGCACCACCTCAACGGAGGATTCAATGAGAGCATTCCGCAGCGTTGTATCAAGAACCGCAAAGGTGCGACATGCGTTAATCTTCCTTGTCAGGGATTCCGAAACATCTCGGTACCAATGCTTTACCGCCATTCGCTGCGACTTGTGCAACTCACCATCTGTTGCATCGATGCTTTCCAGACGCGGGTTCGAGCTTATCCGTGGAAAGCATCCGGACCATGAGGTGGCGAATTCTTCAACCCAACGCCGGACTTCATCCTCGAGTACGGCGAGGATGTTTGAAACAATCGGCACGGATGATGACTCTTTGGATAAACTTTTCTTCCCTTCTTCTGACCCTTGCATGGGAAGCCGCCGCTGATGAAAACACGCCTCCTTGCGGTAACTCTCCATGAAGAAAAGAACGCTGTTCAACATAAAAACCGCCGGCGAAAAGTGATGGTCGCCTTCTGTTGTGTGGCGAGCACCGGAAATCGAGGGGAAGTGATGGTGGTGGCTTTGCTCCTCTCCTGAGCCGACCCGCATCTCCAGCGCGACCTCGGCGATGACCTCCAAGTCCCGCAGCGTCCCAAGGACACAGCGCATCATATAGTCTTCCACCTCCTGCAGCGCGGCTGCCTCGGCTGCGACGCTCAGCAGCGAGCCGTGAAGCGCCAGCTTCGTGGCCCCGTAGTAGCTGGTTAGCATCACCTTGTGCAGGTACACCTGGTTGGTCACTGACACATGGGCTGAGGAGTCGAGGGCCGGGAACCACTCCGTACGGTGCAGGCTGCGCGAGTACTCCCGGAGAAGCCCCGCGTCTAGCGCCCCCTTACAGGTGACGTAGCAATCCAGCAGGTCGCGAACCTCAAAGAGAAACTGCTCCACCCCCGCGTCCACGTGATCGACAAATGCGTGATTATCACCTGGTAAGCTCTCAGCAACAACCTTCCATTTCCACAACTCCTCCAGCAGATCTAGCCCAATAAATATCACATCACGGAAGTGCCGCGTTTCACCCCACAGTCCAGTGCCCTCGCCTCGCGACAGGACAAATATGCGGGTTGGGTCTAAAAATGTCGCTTGATCGACTTGCACAGCGGCGAAACACTTCGCCTTCACACGCTCAAAGACCAGAGTTGCCAATTCCCCTGGCATTTCCACCACGTCAAAGGAGTCATCCAGGGGATCCAGTGCGTAACGCTTCAGACAATCCGCTGCCTCGCTCACAAGCTGTCTGGATTTTGCGGAGATGTCCAGCAGGCGATGACCACCTTTTTGGTAGTGTTTCCGTATCGGCGCGATGCCGCGACGCGTGGTATGGTTTTGGCACGGACGCATCTCTTCTTCCTTGTAGGAGTTGTCGAACTGAGAATCCACGAGGCGCAGCACATGCTCTTCAATTAGCTGCTTCACATCTATGAAGACCACCTCGGTACGGTTGAAATTCTCTCCAAGTCTGTGCACAACCTGTTCAATGCCTTGCAGAGCCACGGGGTCGTGGATGAGACGCAGCGCCGCCGTATCCTTTCGCTCACTCTCGCCAGGCCGCTCCGCTTGCTTCTTCTGCAGGGAGGTGATGAAGGCCTCCTTCACCACATCCTCGGCAACCTTCACCACCTCAGCCAGCTGCACCGTGACACTCGATGCAATTTGATCCGCGTAGACGTTCGGCGGGTGTGACACGAGGTAGCTATCTGTGAAGACCAGGTAGTCGATGCATTTGCATAGAGCCTCCGGGCTCTTCTCCTTGCGTGCCAGCACGAGCCGCAGCGCCACTGGCGGATGGTAGCAGCGAGCTGCCCTCGACATTTCCTCAATGGTGGCGGCGATGTTCTCCTGTGCCATCTCCCACGGCTGCACATCCGTCGTGATGCGACGTGCGCGGTCCGCTATTGCCTTTGACGTATCAGCAAAGTTGTCGAGCATCTTGGCGCTGCCGATGTGCAGGGCGTTGAGCGCATTGAGTTGCTCATCTAGCGTTGAAAAACTCGCCATGCGCCTACATGCGCAACACCATTAGTTGCACCAACAGGGGACAAAGAGCAGACACGAATAATAATAGCCGGTGCTTTGAAATCAAAATCGAGAGGAGAAACAAAATACATTGTTTTTTGATCTTACGGCAGAAGACCACTCTTCTCTTCTTGTTGCACTTCACCTTTGTTTTGCTTCCCCCACTTGACGCCCACTATTCTTTTCTTCCCATTTGCTGTTCTTCACGCCTCCAGGTGGGAACGCACCGCCATCATGAAGTTGTCCCGGAAAGACTCGTCGCTGAAGCGCGCAATAGCGCGTAGCCCATGCTCCTGAAACGTCTTGTACACGAGCGGCCTCTGCAGCTTCATATGGAAGATCTCCACGATGCGGTCGGCGTATTCATCCTCCGTTGTAGCTAAGAAGCCAATATCAGTCGACCTAATAATGTCAAGACAGACACCACCGCTGTTGTGGCCGAGCGGAATGCAGCCGCAAGCAATGAACTCCACAATTACAATACCAAAGTGCTCGTCCTCCATTGTGTGTAGCCCCACACTACAGCTTGTCAGCAACTCACCTACTTCTGCAATTGGCACATCAACACGTACCTCAACACGGTCCAAGATGCCTCTCGCCTTCGCTTCCTCAACGAGTTCTGATGCCCGTCTCTTATCTTCAGGGCCGCGGGCCCCACCAACCATGATGAGCCGCGCATCCGCCGGGAGACGTGGAAGCGCTCTGGCAAAGGCGCGCAGCTGCAACAGATGATTCTTCTCTGGCCTGAACTGACCCACACTTACCACAGTGTTACAGCGCTGCTCCGGTGGTTTGCTAAGCGGCGTAAAGTGGCTGACGGCACATGGTGGGTAAACGAGCGTCGGCACCTTGGGCTTCCACAGCTGCTCAATATGCCGCATCGTCCACCGCGAGTTGGTCATAACAAGAACGGGGAATTGCCCCAGCCACCAATAAAAACAAGAGAATAGCTTGTAATACGCGACCTTTGCCATTCGAAGTGTGTGGTGACGCGCCAGCACGCCTCGGTTGTTGTACCGTTTTTCGCCACTTTCCACACGCTGCGTCATGATCGTTGTGATGACAGGGTAGTGGGTGTAGGTAATAATTCGAGCCTTGGCGAACAAGGCGAGCAGCGGATAAATCCCGGGAATACCGACACTTTCAATCACCAAAGGCGTCATGCTGTTGACAATACATGTTTCATAGAACAACAAGATACTACCACACACAGCCTGCAGGAGTAGCGTCAGAAAGGGGTAGCGACCACCGTCAAGCCAACGTGTTATGGCTGGCCTCAAGAAAACCACTTTTATGGGCCTTAGCAACTTAATTTGAAACTGCCGGTGCACAATCTGCGCCAACAGCTGCTCCTTGCTTTCACCATTCCCTCCGCCACCACCACCACCGCCACCAGCACTCTCATCACCCCCAATTCGTGTACAGTAAAGAACGTACTGGCGACTAATGCCTCTGTCAATGTCATCTTGTTGAATGGCGCGGATGGCGACCCACAGCACACGCTCGCCGCCTCCACCTGCGGCTGCAGATGGGTGTAAAAAACCAATAGCCCCCTGCGGAAATTGTCGGACTCCACGGCGAGCGGCCACCGCAAGGATAACAGCAAGGGTTACCAGCAGCACCACTGATGCTGTTGCGATAAATAGGGTGAGTGCCATCTTTAACCTAACCCCTCACCCACTAGATACTCCAAAAAACAACAACAACAAAGGCGAGGTAAACCCAATGACATAAGAAGCCATCAAAAAAAAAAATAATAAGATGGAGGCGAAGACACCAACGACGACACACACAAAAAAAAGGAATAGTGAAACATTACGAAACAACAAAACAGCAGACCTCACGCCTTGATGGTCGTCTTGAAGTGGTTCTTGATCCTGCGGTTGACCACCTTCAGGTAGCGACAGCGGCCAGTGCCGGTGCGGCGACGCTTGATGGCCTTGACGGACCAGTTGTAACGGCGGCGGCTCGGGCGAGGGTAGGCGCAGGCGGCGCACCGCTCCCACTGCACGTGGTATGCGTTACGGCCGCAGCGGCGGCAGAGAATGTGGGTGCGCCCATGGCGCTGGCCCATCGACGTGGTACCCTTCGTCATTTCCTCTAACACTCAGCGAGGTCCTTTGTTTATTCGCGGTTAAAGGTGGAAGGAAAACGAAAAACATGCAGTGTGAAAAAGAGAGAGAAAGAGAGAGAAAAAATGTGTACGTGGAAAGCATAATGCCATTAACAGGGAGAAGCCCACCAAAGGGAAACAGTGCGCACAACCGGACCACAAGCTGAGTTCAAGTTGAGCTAGAAAACAAACGGAACCAGTTATACAGAAGGAATGAGAGACGAATAGAACACCGCCCCCTCACACACACACAGAGACAAAGAGGTTAGACGCTTCGATTAACAAGATTCTTTGCAGCTGTGCAAAGCCACGCGTCACACAAATCATCGCCATCCTTATCCACCTCCACCTCCCCTTCTGTCCCATGGTTCGTTGCCTGATTAATAATGTCGACCGTTGTGAGCACTGGCACATGCCAGTGCAAGGGTGACAGGCATCCCCGTTGCACCCATACCGCGTAGGGGCGGGGTGGCATCACAACTAACGTCACACCGCCCGTCACCCGCTGAAAAAGCGCCTTATACGTCACACGGTGACGCTGGCGCCAACGCAGAAATGAGCGATGGCTAAGGAGCAAGAAGTGATGATCACGCATCTGATCATTCGAGACAACAAGACAGTTCGGCTTGCGGATGGCTGCATACAACCAGCAGTAATCGTCATTCATAAACCCCGGACAGGCGATCAACGACGCATCTTTCTTCCACCTTGACAACCACTCCGCGTTATCTGTCGATGGAGACTCCAAGTGGCGGTTGTGCAGCATCACCAGCGGCTTCTTCCCAAGGCGTCGAGTCTGCGTCAACATTTCATCAATGAGGGAAAACTTGGGCGGAACGTCAACTGGCATCGGTACCTCACAGAGTTCATACTCCGGTACCGTAACAGGGTCGACGCCGCGCGCCCGCAGCGACGCCTCCTTGGCTTCCCGGTACCAACTGCTGAGGCCATAGTATCCAACGTTCGCGCCATCAATGACAGCATCGTACTCATTGGCGGAGAGTCTCTCTTTGAAGGCCTCGAACTCCTGCCATCGCCGTTCCTTCTCTTTTGGCGTCACAACCTTATCCGGCTCGTAACGGCTTGCGCCCTCCACCCGCGGTGCGATTAGTTTTGTCTCAATATCGTTCAACAGTGTGGCCCGGTCGCTCGGAGAAAAGTCGAATGTGTGTAGCTTTGTCCCGCACCAGTTACACACCCCTGTCGAGCTGTGGACCTGGGTCATCTCGCCACCCAGCAGGTGCCGCAACGCCTCCCCATTGCCCTTACCCACAACTGGGTGGTGATCTGCCATGCATTCAAGCATCTCATCGAGCAGAAGCGTAGTGGGCCCGCCTTCCGCGTTAGCTTTCTGCAGGCAGCAGAGCAGCTCGCGGTAATCGACATCCCAGAACTCCACGTCTTTGCTTCGCCCAAGGCGCAGTGTGTCGAAGGCCAGCTCTGTATTTCCTGTTCGCGCAGCGTGCTCAAAGAGAGGGAAGAAGAGGCGCCGCTTGTGGGTTCCCGCCGGCAGCATCGCGATGATCTTCCCCGTGAGGTCCAAGTCCACATTGGTGGTGCGAGTGAGGAGACGGAGGGAGACGGTTGCAACTTTCTCGTCGAGGATATTCTTGTGCAATAAAAGCTCCGCTTGCAGCACCTGCTGCAGCAACTTCTGCCCCTCTTCCAGCAACCCCTTCTCCGTCCACAAATACAGCACCTTGGCGAGCGCTGAGCTGCGCGGAAAGACTTGGTGCTTTTCGACACATTCTTGGAGGAAGTCGGAGAGCACGCAGCACAGAGCTGAATCCGCGATGGCGCGATCTCCAAGCTTCGTGAAAACCTCATTGATGAATTCAGACACTTTCAAGCGCCGCTTCAGTTTTGTCTGGCGATTATTTTCGACAATCATCTCCTGCACGGCGGGGAGACCACTGAAGTCCAGCGGAATGTCAGGCTCTACCCGCAAGCGGCGGCGGGCCGGCTCATCCGACTCCGACATACAACCCCCTAAGAATCCCCCCCAAAAGCTCTTTTGCAGACACCACCACCAGCACCATTATCATCATCAGCAGCAGCAGCAGCAGCGGTGGCGAGGTGAGAAATGAAACAAAAGAAAGAAAGGGGGTGAAAAAAAAGTCCGCGGTGCAACTGGGAAATAAAAGAGCACATAACCGTCAAGGATGCCAAACAAGGAGAAACACGGAGCTGCACAAAATGAGACTGTACGGTTTCCAAAAGGGAGGGGACGTGGGCGTTGAAGGAAGCATTACACTTAACGGGTTCCCTCAAAACATTTCGTTGCTCCAAAAATCATTGTACATGAATATTCCTCCGCCATGGTAGAGCGTGAGGCATACACCTCCTTTCCTTCTCTCATTCAAGTGGAACTCGAATGGAGTCGATGGCAAACACGTTCCTCAACTTCTGCGAGAGAGCGGCGACTTCGCATTCCGCATCCACCACCCCGCGCTTCATCATCTTCAGCCGCTTCTGCACCTTCGCCTCTTCCCTGAGTTTGCGCTGCGTCTTCCTGCGGTCCTTGTCCTCCTCTAGCGCGCGCTCGTGCTCATCAGCCGCCGCCTCGTAGTCGCGCCGCAATTGCGCCGCCTTCTCCACTGACGCGTCGTACTTGCGCAGTGTCTCCAGCTGGTGCTCACTGAAGTGCGCGGAAAAACTATGCGGGGCCTCGTGTGTGCTGTACGTGATGCCACCACGGAACTCCGCCGGCGCGGCGCCGTATACATCTTCCAATTCCCTGCGGAGCAGCTGCTCAAAGTCGGCGTAGCTCGGCAGTTGGCGTAGGGGATCCAACTCAACGCTGATTTCAGCATGACCTTCGCACGCAGATACGTGGGGACGCTGAAACAGAAGCATTGCAATTCCAATGGCTAGCTGAATATCATAAACCTCATAATACATGAGAAAAAATGAATGATAGAGCAACAAACAAACCAACGAATAAGGAGAAATAAAAAACACAGAGATCACTCCCCCCCAAAAAAGAAGTTTTAGGAACCCACCGGGTTTCCGTAGTCTTTACAGATAATTAACGAAAAAGAAGGATGATAAACAGGCCTACCAATCAATCCCACACACGTCGTCTCTTTTTCCGTAGCTGAGGGATGTGGGTGAAGTAAGCGCCGCGAACGTGATCTCCACATGGTGCTTCTCCATGCCTACGCACCCAGATAGACCAAAAACAGCATTACTCCAGAACTGCCGTGTTGATCATTCCAGCATCTTCCAACGTATCACAGTCAGCATGAAGTGCATTAATATTATTATACAGATAACCGCCATACATGTCCGCAAGGTTTTCCTGCTGAACAACGTACTCTCCTGTCGCACCAAGGGTGATTTCGATGTCGTACTCCTCTTTAAAAAAATCTTGAAGTCTCTCATGACTGTCGATGTCGGTTTCGCTAGAATGCCCGGTGTGTTCATAGAAGCGCACAAAGTCCTTATAGTTCCAGTAGCCCTTGCCCCCGTCGAAGCATTTGAAGACCATCTCCACCAACGGCTTATCTTCAGCGTTCAGGAGAAGCCGGAAACCCTCTTTCTCCGCGCGTGCGTATAATTTACGACAGCTCGCACAGTACAGCTCGCCGCTCTCCTCATCGAACTCCAGGTCCTCGATGCCCAAACACTGCTTGTTGGCGCAAACCTGCAATACGATCACGTCTTCCTCGTCGTCCGACATGGCTTCCTCTTCCCCACCACCCGCCTCTCGCTTTAATCAATTCAACGAAAACAATAAAGAAAGAATGAGAGGAAGTATATGCATGTGTTTGTGTGTGTATATATTCTTTAGTGGCAAAGAACAAAAAAAAAGATCCACAGTGCATGTGTCTACCAGAGGCCTCCCCGAACGAAAATAAAAAAAAGAAACTTCACACTACTGCTGTTGTTATTCAGCAATCCCCAAACGCCTCTTCCAACTTCACGGCCCCACACGCGGTGGTGGTGGTGGTGGGACCGTTTTTGACAAAACTTGCAGTGGTCCAACGGACGCAATTCCCTTTGTTACCATTGACGGAGGCGGCGGCGGCGGTGGTGGTGGTGGAATCCCATGCATCCCACTCTTGTCACCGGGGCCTGATGCGGTCATTTTACCGACATCCCCCGCTGTCTCGCCCTCTGATGGTTTCAAGGGTGAATTTAGAGGTTTACATTGACGCCCAGTACCTTCCCGTCGCTTCACTTTCCGCAGATGTTCTCTCTGCGCCACAAGGCACGCCTTATTTTCAGAAGCAGCTACTAGTCGCTTCTTCCAGCGATCCTGCGCCCGGTGAAACAGCTCCACATCTTTTTTCCGCAGGTTTGCCACTGCAGCAGGAGACGAAACAGTGGAGACTTCCACAACTTTCATCGACAAGTCATTAAAAAAGGTGTGATTCGCCAATACACGCAAGTCAGCAGGAATCGTTGGATGAAAAATATAAAAAAGAATATTCTTTATCGAAAGCGGAATTTCGGCGAATCCATTCAACATGCAAACCGGGTTGCGTGGTGACGCCTCATCCTTGTCCGCATCTTCTGCGACAAAAGGTTCTCCCTGACATGTAAGGAGCGCGCAGAGCATCCACGGCTCCACATGGACTCCACACAGCTGCAGAAGAATGACACCGAACAGGAGAATATCAAATGGTGTCCGCCGCGGTGGAAGCTCATCTCCCCCCTCCCTTTCCTCATACGGGTACAGGGCTGGGAAACGAGTTGTCCCTGCAAAAATATCCTCCACATCGGCGAGCACCACACCGTGTCGCTCCGACATCATGAGGTTTCCTAGCGACAGCAGCGGGAGGGATATGTTGTGCCGATGGCAGCTGCGCAGTATGTAAAGGAGCTTGCGCCCCACAAGCTGCACGTCATGTAGAGCCATCGGTTGCACTGCGTAGCGCTGCTGCTGCTGGCGCCGGTGCTTGCTGTCCCTTGTGAAGGGCAGCGTCGAATGCAGAGAGTCACATAGGCTCCCGTGCGGCGCCACCGGGTAGACTGCGAACACGTGAGGGGCCACAACGTCAACGTACAGTGGCACGTAAAAGACGGCAGGGTCCAGGCCAACGACAGTCCTCCGCCACGCATGCACTTCTGCCTCGGACACCGCGAGGCTCTTCTCCATCCGCTGCACCACAAGAATAAGCTCTGTACCGAGTGCATTGTCTGTAACAAAGACACGTGTCTTCCACATCCCCACTCGCTGTGACGGCACCACCGCGCGGAACACAAACGGTGTCCCACGCATCCACATGCGGGCGGCGACGACATCCGCCTCGTGTTGCTCTGCTGTAGCCCCCGCTACTCTTAGGCAGCGGGCAACCGTCCACCTCTCATACCCCACCGTGAAGGCGGCACCTTCCTTTTCTTCGCATGCCACCGCCTGTTCATAGCCGACAAGTGACAAGAAGCCAGCATCTGTGCACATCAGGCGATGAGACGCCACAGTGTTTAAGAACACCTCCAGCGATGCCCGCCGCGCCTCAACGTACGCAGGGTCGAGACCTCTGAAGAAGCTCGGGCCCAGCAGCTCTGGTAGCTCTTGCCCCGCAAAAGCCTCATGCAGCTTGGCACTCACTAAGGCGCATTGCGAATAGTTGCGCTCAATGACGCTTAGAATCTGCGTAGGGCGCGCCGGATCCATGACACACACCTTGAACGTGATATCGTCGCCGGTCGGTGAGGCATCTATCACGTTTAACAGAAGTGTGTAAGGCCGCAACATGATGTCAGCTCTACAGTTTCGAACATACACCCCCTCTTATCTACAAACCACATACCAAATGAAGAAGACAAAGAAACATGCTACTTTGTGCAAGCATACAATTAAATGGACCTCACCCGTCGCAGAGATGTGCCTGTCCCACAAAGATAAACGTGCCCTCTTTTCGTCAGCAGAGGTTATTCCATGTACTTCACATACTCGACAGTGCAGGTAGACACAGTTTTGTATGTGCGTTGAACTTCCTGAAAGGACGGACGGTGCGTGGTCAGCGGCGCCTTGCGCACACGGGGGTCCTTCAAATTGACTGGCGACACTGCCCGCTCGCCATTCTCCGTTGTTATGGCTGGCAAACTCGAAAAATCTGTCAGCACGCCGCGGTTCTGCGGCCCAGGGGCGACGTATAAAACGACTGCTGCCGCGTTGATGTAGCTGCGCCACTTCAACAGAATGTCCCGAACCTCAAGTCTCCATTTTATTTCCTGCGCCCGACGTATCTGGGAGCCAATGCTGCCGTAGCTTCCTCCTTCCTTCTCATTCGATGACTGTTTCCCGCCCTGCTTCTTGCGCACCACGTAGCGCTGGAACGCCTTGTGAGCCACAGGCTTTCCGTCGACAAATACCCCACCAGCAAAGTAACCGCCGTGACACATGAGAATAACCCACGGCAGAAAGGTGAGGGAGCGTAACGAGGTGCGCAGCCTGGTCGGCACATCCGTCGGCAGCAACTTGGCACTGCTTTCTTCTTCCTCCTCTTCTTCTTCCAACAGGGCGTCGTATTCTGCGATCAACTGTTTCGAAAACCCAACCGTGAGGGATTCCTCATCAGACTCAACAACAACATCGTCTTCCACCACCTTCTCAGCACTCTCGACTAACGCGCCCACGGAATCCTGTGGCTCTTCCGCGGCTTCAGTGGGAGAGAGACCTCCCTCCGACGCCACATTGATGACCCCCGCTACAGGCTCACCATACGCGAGGGCAATCACAACTGCGCGATGTACAATCACGCGACACAGGCAGGGATGCCCATCGTATTCCACGGGTGTCGCAAAATTTAATTGAACCAATGGCGAGTTCGGAATCAACGCACACCGCCCCGGCCCAATGGCTTCTTGTGGTATCTCACTGCTATTGCAGTCGGCATACCTCGCAACCACGATGGCCTCAACCTCTGCAGTTTTCTTCTCATATTCTTCTTCTTCCTTCTGCCGTTGTTGTTGTTGCATTGGTGGTTGCGGTTGGTGCGGTTCATTTTCTACTGCGTCTGCCTCGGGACTTCCTGCCCTGTGCTGGACTTTCTTGCTTTTTGGTTTGCGTCCTCCCTGCTTCTTCTTCCCTTCACGCTTCTTCTCCATCTCCCGCTTCACCGCCTCCACCTCGTCTTCGTCCTTCTCCTCCTCCTCTGCAGCAAAGTCCACCTCTAGTAGCACATCCACCGGGTTGCACTGCTTGAGTACCGCCGCATTCACTTCCTGCTCCAGCTTGTCCATCTCACCCAGCAGTCGCTCCACGTAATCGCCACTGAAGCGGCCAAGCTTCTGTCGCGCCTCCTTGAGCCGCTCCACGTTGGATATGTAGGCGTTTTCCGCCTCATACGCGTTTCGCGGGGGAATCGCCAGTGACTTTCGCGTCGCCGCAAGCAGCTGCTCAATCTCAGCGACGCTCGACATCCCTCTTTTGCGCCGCGAGCACACACACAGACACACAGATATACTGTAATTTCGAAACCAACAAGAAACGAACAGAAACAAAAAAAAAAACTCCTTCCCACGCAAACAGCACCAGCATCTGATTGATGACAACGGCAGGTGAAGAAGGCAACCACCAAGAAAGCAAAACCAACCCTCGGCCGGAATGAAGAGATTAAAAAGTACCAAACAATGACAATTCCCTCGTTTATACAGGACCTGCTGCATCGGACGGAGACACAATACACTACCCTCCACCTCGACCACCACTCAGCGTGACGTTGCTTTCACCCTGGTTCCGTCTAAATTGCGACTTGTGTCAACGTGCGCATCACCGACCTCTGCCCCCTTGTAAAGCCAACACTCTGTAGGCATCGCGTACCCCGGCATCCTCGGTGCGCGGTTGACGCTCGACCGCCTTGAGCCCGACGTCCGCTGATGTACAGCACCGTGCAAGCTGACGCCAACCTCCGGGAGTTGCGAGGTTGACAACGTTGCAGCGTTCAGTGAATCGCGGTGGCTATTCAAGAGGGTTTCGTTTGCGTCCAGTCGAGGGGCACTCCCCATCAGGACTTGCGGCGCTGGAACGGGTTGCCCCACAGAACGTCCCCTGCGCTGCACCCCACCCTCGTGCTGGGTCTCTATTGAGGCATGGAGGCTTCGGTGGCGGTCATTCGACACATCTAGGCCTGCCTTCTTACTATTGGAACCAACTGAGTCGCCCAAAGGCCGCGGATGCACAACATAAGCTAGTCTCTCAAGGATACCGTAGAGGGAGTCGACTGAGATGACGCTCTCCTTCGGCTTCCTATCCGTGGACTTGGACCGTTTGCGTCCAGTGCGCGGTTCTGACGTGGGTGTCACAGTGGAAACTACAATGGGAGCTGTCTGCTGCTCCTGCTCCTGCTGCAGCATACGCACCTCCTCCTCCCTTGTCGCTGCGCGGTGGTTTCTATGAAGCATTGCAGTTGCATACGGCGGCCGCCTCGTCAACCGCTTCGCCGCACACGTCGCTGCATTTGGGTTCAGCGTAAGCACGATGCACCTCGTCTCCAATGACGCCGACGCAGCCGGCCGCAGGGCGGGCACGTCCGGAAGGGAACGCTCGAGAGAGCTTCGCGGGACGCCGGATGATGTGGGGCTTAGAATGACATTCTCATCATCTTCCGCGTGTCGCGCCTCGACCGCCGGCTGCCGCGGTGGCACCGAGCTGATTGGAGTTGACGTGAGCTGCTGCTGCAAGGTGGAGACATTGGCGTGGGTGTGATCAACAGAACTAGGTGGGACGGAGGAAATGGGACTCGGCATCACATTTACATCCTCTTTTTCTGGCTGCTTCTGCTCCTGTGTTGCCACTACCGGTGTCGATTCTACCGAAACGCTCTCCGCTTTGAGTGAAGTAGCATCCAAAAATCCATTTGGGGCGTCGAGTGACACCCACTGCGACAACGGTAAATTCGGGTGTGACGAAGTGTCTATTCCTAAAGGTGTCTGAGGCTTTTCACCATCTAGCAGCTGCTTCGCCTGCGCTATAGCGGCACGGGACTTCACAAGCATTGAGTCCCAGGCAGGTGCCTCTCCATTCATCATCGAGTGCCTCGCTTGCTTCGGGCTTTTGGGTGTACTATTAGTCGGGGGGTCCGCGCGTGCTGCTGGCACGTCGCTGTGCGATAATGTTAACCACCCCGGGTGCCCTTCCACAGGCGTGGGGCGCAGCGAGCAAGCGGGGGAAAGGGGCGGAAGTTCCCTCACGCCGTCGGGCGGTGACGACGGGAACCCATTGCCTGTAACCACCCCCGATATTCGGCAACCGGGTGTACCATTCGAGGGTGGTGTGCAGACGGGTGTACAGGGAGCATTCGCCTGCTCCGACCTACGCGACGCTTGCGATGATGGACAGAAAACTCGCTGTGTCATGTGCGCCGAATTTGGAAATATAGAGAAATTTTTCCTCGCGCATCCCCTTTCCTCCTCGACGCTGGAGTCTAATGCAGTGCCGAAGTAATGCGCCAGGTACGGATTTTTGCGCATTGATTCTACATTCACTAAAAGAACCAAAAAATAATACAAAAACAACAAGCCGACGAGAAACATAGTATAGCGTGATGTATGTTAGCAAACAGCCACATAAATGGAAAGCAACTGAAAAGGGCAAAACAACAACGACGACAACAGTATCAGCTGCTCCACTGTATCTCATCTCTGCCAAACAGTAATTCCTCGTCTTGCTTCGTCCAAAATATATACGAGACATCCTATTTTCTTTTTGTTTTGTTTACTGCATGTAGTTTTGGAGCTTAATGAACTCATTTAACAGCTGACTTTTACGAATCATTAGCTTAGGGGGGAAATAGACGGAGTTACGCGGTGGACTCGTGGGCCTTCAGGACGCACAAAGCCTCAGTAACCTTCTCCTGCAGGAGCTTCTGATTGTACAACAGCGTAAAGGCATCCTTGAGGTCCATTTCCAAAAACATACCAGTGATCTTTGGCGCGTGGTCCGGGGCAATTTCAAAGACCTTGATGTAGAGACGGTCGCCAAGGGCAGCGCGCTGCTCGTCCACCGTCATGGTCCGCATATCCTCTGCCGTGATGGGTGGCAGCGGCGGCGTGTCGGGTGCAGCGCCGGGCGACGGCTGCGGGGTGCGGGGC